AGATACATGACTATATCTGATGGTAAGGAAGTCCTTTTTTTTTTTTCTTTTTTTTTTGTTGTGAGGAAATACAGCCCTGAGCTAACATCTGTGCTAATCCTCCTCTTTTTGCTGAGGAAGACCGGCTCTGAGCTAACATCTATTGCCAATCCTCCTCCTTTTTTTTCCCCAAAGCCCCAGTAGATAGTTCTATGTTATAGTTGCACATCCTTCTAGTTGCTGTATGTGGGACACTGCCTCAGCATGGCCAGAGAAGCGGTGCATTGGCGCACGCCCGGGATCTGAACCCAGGCCGCTGCAGCAGAGTGTGCACGCTCCGGTGGTAAGTTTTAAAACCCTAGATGGCCCCAGGACCATACAGTGCCTTTGGGGGCAACTGGTTCCTCCTCCCAAACTCCAGGGCCTCATGGAGGAAGGAAGCCTTAGGGCCCTGGTTACCCACCTACCCCCACCTCTACCTTCTGTGACTCAGGCTGGGCATCAACACCACCTGTCTCTGGCATCTCCAAGGTGATGAGGCTGCACCAATCTCATTTCTGATGCTTCCTCTTCAGTTTCTGTGACTTCTACCCCCTCCCTGAGAACCTCAGTGACTCCAATATTCTTCCCACCTCTACAAGTAAGAGCCTTTTCTCCCTGTCTCCTTCATGCCCACCTCCATGCTTAGCAATGAGAAGGACAAGAGAGTATGCACAGGCAGGCCAAGGCAAGGGGACAGTGTGAGGAGGATGAATCTTAGGGGCTACACCCTCGCCACAGACCAGTACAGCTCCATGCCTGGGTTTGGAGAGCTCTATGACTCCAAGTTTTCTTTCTTTTTTTTTTTGCTAAGGAAGATTCACCGTGAGCTAACATCTATCACCAATCTTCCTCTTTTTGCCTGAGGAAGATTAGCCCTGAGCTAACATCTGTTTCCAATCTTCCTCTATTTTGTATGTGGGTCACACCATAGCATGGCCACTGATGAGTGGTGTAGGCCCACGCCCATGAACCAAACCCAGGCCACCAAAGCAAAGCATGCTGAGCTTAACTACTAGGCCACGGGGCCAGCCCCAGTGACTCCAGGTTATCAATCCCAAACTGAAGCAATGCCTCTTTTTAATCCACCATTTGCCTTCTGTCAAGATTTTATATCAGTTGGTTTTACTACATAATAAACAACCCCTAGATTTACTGGATTAAAACCTCAATCACTGATTACTACTCTTTAGTATATAGGTCAGCTGGGCAGTTTCTCTGGTTTCAACTAGGATTCCTCATGCATCCACAGTCACCTGCAGGTTAGCTAGGTGTGGATGCTTCTGGAGGATGCCTGACTGATGGGTGGGTGCCTCAGTTCTCCTTCACATGATCTCATCATCCAACCAACTAGCCCCTGCTCATTCATGTGGTGGTTACAGAGCTCCCAGCACTGAGAGAGAGCAAGCTTCAGTGTGCAAGTGCTTTTCCAGCATCTGCTGGCATCATGTTTCTCTTGTCCCTTTGACCAAAGCAAGTCATGGCAAAACCGGAGTTGAGAGGTGGAGAAATAGACTCTCCCCTTGGTGGAAGGGGCTGCAATACCACATTGGAAGGGTGTAGATGCAGGGAGGTGAAGAATTTCTGGCCATATTACAATCTACCCCAGGTGACCTGCCAAGCACCAGCTTGTGACCATGTTGGCCTTAGGGGGCCTGAAGGGGTCAGTTAGTGAGATCAGATCCAGTGCTACATTCTAGAACAATTCCCAAAGCTTCACCTTTTTCTAGAATGGAATGGAAATAGTCAAAGGCAAATCCAGGACTAATTCCCAAAGGGCAGAGACTAAAGAGGTGAGCAGAGAAAGCAGACATGATAATAACAACAGTGACAGCAAAGCAATGACAGCAGCCTTCACTGATTGTCATGTAATGGGGACCCTGCATTACACGTATGACCTTCAGCCTGTGTAGGTACACACTGCTATTTCTCCATTTAAGAGAGGCATAGACTGGTTATTGGGGACCTCACTGATTTTCTCAGGTCACACAGCCAGCAGAAGCACAGGACTCAACTCTAAGTCATTCAAACTCTAGAGTCTGAACTTCTGCCCTAAAATGGCTGTGTGGCCTTGGAGAAGTGACTTAACCTCGCTGAGACTCATTTTCATCCTCTGTCAGTTGGGGCTAAGTAACAGGACTCCCCTCCTGGGATTGTGTGAGGACTACATGAGATCCTGGATGGGAAGTGCTCAGCACAGAGTGCAGCATGGAGTAAGCTCCTACCCAACATCAGCTGTTATTATCGCTGCCATTTTTATTGTCATGGTTGTTAACATTACTCTTAATAATACAGTCAAGTTTCCCATTCTTGGAGGAGACATTCTGAACTCTTGCACCAGATGTGAATACACTGGGCAACAGGGATGTGGATCCAGACTCTCCCCCATGACCCCTAATTCTCACTCAGACAGTGGCACAGGGTGTGGCTTCTCTCCCAGCCTCACTGCAGTCTGTGGCCCTGCCCTGTCCATTCACCCTTAACTTCACCATCACAACCTGCGCTACAGAGAGAACATGCAGCCTCTGGGCTCAGAGAAATTCAACAAAATAAAGAAGATCTTGCAGTGCCTTGTGAGAGCCCCACCCACCTCATTCCTGCACCACCCATGATGCCAGCCCTTCCCACCTCTCCCCTGCCTAGCTCACCTCTCCCTGCCTCCCAACTGATGCCCACCCTACCCACCTCATCCCAGCCCTGCCCCTGTCCTGCTCAGTCCTTCTACTCACCTTCCTCTCCTTCTTCAGTAGCTCAGACCCTCATTCAAGAACACCAGTGTTGGCCTGTCTCAGACTGACCTCACTCAGGTGAGACATCCAGAGAAGATGGCCCAGTAAGGCATAGTGGAGTTTTTTACCCACAGTCCACTATGGCTGGGTCCTCCTTTTCAACTCTGCCGTTTCCAGCTCCCCACCTGGAACAACCACTGTCCCAGGGGATCCTGGTCCACAGGTCCTGATCTGGACCTTCCCATCATCCTGAGCCTCAAATCTCCCACACAATATTTACTAGCAACAAAATGACAAAACATAGCAACTCAAAAGTATGCAACAAATTCTTTCATAAAGGATGAACCCTAATCCTTCACAAAGGATACACCCACAGCCTGCCATGCCTCCAACTCCACACTGCATGTCAACATTTCTGAAGGCTGACATACAGCCAGCACTTAGTCTTTGTCAGACGTTGGGGTGCTCGACACATGGTCACTGTTGACATTCTGGGCTGGATAAATCTAGCTGTGGGTGGCAGTCCTCTGCACTCTAGGATATTTGTCAGCATCTTGGCCTCTACCCACTAGGTGCCCGCAGTACCCCAACCCCCCAAAGTTGTGACAACAAAAACTGTCTCCAGACATTGGCAAATATCCCCTGGGAGTGAAAATCCAAGGAGACAGATAAATGATTCCCATACCTCACCTCCCTAAACTCTTTCAACATCACCATTAATATCCTCATTTTACCACGAAACATCAAGGCGCAGAGACATTAAGGGGCTTTCCCAGAGTCAATAGCTGCCTAGTGGTGGAGCCGGGATTCAAACCCTCTCTCAACATCAGCATTGCACCAGTTGTTGGATTTTCAGTGAACATTTATTGAAACTGACTACCTTCCAGGTGCCATGCTAAGTTACATACTGTATTAGTTTGCTAGGGCTGTTGTAACAAAATACCATAGACTGCATGGCTCAAACAACAGATATTTATTTCCTCACAGTCCTGGAGGCTGGAAGTCCAGGATCCAGGTGCAGCTAGGGTTGATTTACTCTGAGGCCTCTCTCCTTGGATTGCAGATGACCGCCCTCTTGCTGCCTCTTCAGATGGTTGTCCCTCTGCACACGCATTCCTGGTGTCTGTGTGTCCTAGTCTCCTCTTCTCAAAAGGACGTCAGTCAGATTGGATTAGTGCCCACCCCATGGGCTCATTGTAACTTACTTATCTCTTTAAAGGCCCTATCTCCAAAGAAATTTACATTCTGAGGTACTGGGGATGAGAACCTCAGCATATGACTTTTAGGGGGGACACAATCCACCCCAAAACACATACACTCTATCCTTTAATTCTCACTACAACAATCTGACTTAGCTCCATTTTACAGAAGAGGAAAGTCAGACTCGAGAGGCTACCAAGCCACACAGCAAATAAATAATAGAACCCGGAGTTCCTATCACTCCAAAACTCATGGTCCCACTCTCAATGCTGTTCACCAGCAGTTAATTTATTCCAAAAGACATACTGATTTTTGGTATACACCTATTATGTTCAAGTTCATGGGCCAAACTCCCTTTGCATCCCCAGCAAACCCTGTGATAAGAACCTTGTAGGTTTTCAAGTATTAATTGCCCTTGCAGTAGGGGTAAGTTTTCTCAACCCCCTCAAACTATCCTTGGATCTGTCACTGGTCTTTTACACGAAAGCATCCTCCCTCACTCCTTCCAACCATGGCAGGGCTCTGGGCTCCTGAAGTCCAGTAAGAACCATCTTTTCCCAAAGGAAAGGAGGAAAAATAAGTTAAAGTCAGCTCCATTGACAGTGTCTTGCTTATCACTATCCAGTCCTTGGAATAGTTCCTGGAGCATAATCGGACCAATTCAGTGTCTATGGAGGGAAGGCAAGATGAATGGATGGAAGGAAGGAAGAAGTGATGAATGGGAGGAGAGAGAGAAGATGGATGAGCAGATGGAAAGGAGGAAAGATGAATGGAAGAAACAAAGAGGAGAGAGGGAGGAAAGATATATAAATATATGGAAGGAAGAAAAGAGGGATGGGAGGAAGGAAAGATGGATGGAGGGATGGAAGAAAGGAAAGGATGGAGGGAGGATGCAAGGAGAGATGGACAGGTGGAAGAAAGGGGGATGGAAGGAAGGATGGACAGAAGGGTGCATGGAAGGAAGTATGAATGGGAAGAAGGAAAGAAGGGAAGGAGTGAGGTATGAAGGAATGATGGGTGGGTGGATGGATGGATGGATAGATGGATGAATGGATAGATAGATGGTGGAAGCAAAGAAGGAAGGGATGGAGGGAGGAAGAAGAAAAGATGGATGGGTGGAAAGGAAGAAGGAAGGAGAAAAGAAAGGCAAGATGGAAGGAATGATGGACAGAAGGACACTTAGAAGGAGTGCTGAACAGAGAGAGGGAAGGAAGATGGGAGGTAAGTTTTTCTTCCTGAGTTTTGTCTTAAATACTTAGCCCCTGCATCACTTGTCTATTCTAGAGTCAGGCCACAGGGCCTCTTGTCTCATCTGCATCATTTATTCTATTTCTCTACATAGAATAGAATAGTTCTCTAGATAGAGAACTACAATATTCTCTACACAGAATAGTTGGGGTCTACACAGGTCATCCCAACTATTGAGCACTACACCAGAAGCATGAGTCTGAACAAGAGCATAGCAGAGAAGGTCACAAGAAAGGACTCAGTGGTCAGAGAACCTGTGTCCAACCAGACTGTCCCTCTCTCCAGCTATGTGACCCTGGGCAGCTGACCATTTCTGTACTTTGGTTTCCTCCTGTGTTTCATGTGGGTAATTCCAGTACCCAGCATATATTTATCCATGTAAAAAGCTCTGCACATAGTAAGTGATTGGAAAACATTTACTTACTTATTTTATGTAATAAATCCTTACATAGTGTTTACTCTGTGCCCAGCACTGTGCTTAGCACATTACAAAAATTACCTTGTTTAAACCTCATAACAATCTTTGAAGTAGGAATCATTCTTAACTTACAGATGAGGAAATCAAGGTGCAGAGAGGTTGGTTATAGCTGCTAGGATTGTTGGGGTGACCCGTGTAGTTGGGCTGACCTGTGTAGACCCCAGAAGAATAAATGAACATGTGATGCAGGTGAGATCAGAGGCCCCGTGTCCTGATTCTAGAATAGATAAGCAATGCATTGGCTAAATGTTCAGGCTTTTTTAATCCAATGCATAGATGATTGGCATAGCTGGTTATAAGGGCATGGCAGATTGATGAGGATGATGATGATGATGACGATAGATAGATAGATAGATAGATAGATAGATAGATAGATAGATAGATAGATAGATAGCTTGCTCTCCTGCCCTTACCAACAGGTATACCAATTTTCTATGCAGTGGATTAAAAAGACAACAATCCTAGCAGTTGTAGATATAGATGTAGATTTGGATAGAGATAGAGATAGAGATAGAGATAGAGATAGAGATAGAGATAGAGATAGAGATAGAGATAGAGATACAGATACAGATACAGATAGAGACAGAGATAGAGATAGAGATAGAGATAGATAGAGATAGAGATACAGATAGAGATAGAGATAGAGATAGATAGAGATAGAGATAGAGATAGAGATAGAGATAGAGATCTATCTATCTGTCTATTATCTATCTATCTATCAAGAGAAGGAGAGGGAGAGAAAGAGACAGAGGCACAGAGCAACAAAGGGATAGAGATGGGAGCAGAGAATGTGGATGTAAATATCTGGGGTCACCAGTTCTGCATCAGCCTGGCAAGTTGGACCTTTTCCTCCTGGGAAAGGACAAAGCCACCAGTGTTTTCACAGAGCCCTCCACTCCTGCATCTGGGTGGAAATGTCCATCTCAACCCCCTCAAACAATTCAGCCTGCCCTTACTTGCTGCTAGAGTTGTCTCCATTAACAAATGACCCTCAAGCTTATCAGGACAAGGACATGGGCCCTGTGAAGCCCCACCCTGGGGTGGACAGTGGTCCCCCTGACCTCCCTGCGAGCCTCAGCTCTCTCTGCACCTACCGTAGCTGGGGAGGTCAATGAGGAGCCATTCACTCTGAACTTCGCCGTCCACAGCCTGCTCTACTCGGCACATGGGCCACCCCAGTGCCCTCAAGTTCAACATCATGGACACCGTCCTGCAGCACCTGCTGTGAGGCCTGCGTCCCCTACCTCCCCTCTGGGACCCATCCTAGGGGCTGTTGCCCACCTCTGAACACCGCTGGCATTCTCCTTCCTCTCCAGCTCAGCCTGTTGTTCTGGAGGAGCAGCCTGGGGCCCCAATATGTAGACTGCAAGGACATCTTGCTAAGGTGGGAACATTGCCACCCCCCATGGCCCACACCGAACGACATGAACTGCTGACTGTGGGGCCACTCCCAGTTGTAGAGAGATATTCTCAGGAGGTCCTTTTCTGCATCCAGTTTTTATATTACATTATTAACTTTTTAAATTGTGATAAAAGACACAAATTTTGCCATTTTAACCATTTTCAGTGTAAAATTCAGTGGCATCAATGACATACACAATGTTGTGCACCCATCACTGCTATCTAGTTCCAAAGCTTTTCCATCACCTCAGGCAGACACTGTACTCACCGGGCAATTACTCTCCTATCTCTGGGTCAGTTTGTGTTCCGTCGGTATTTCCAGAGCTCTTCACCATTCCTATTTTCATTCAAGTGATGCCATTGGTACAGCTCCTCTGAGGCAGAGGGTGGGTCCCACGTGACAAGACCGGCACTGCCCCTGCCCTCATCTAGTGGAGAAAACATACTAAGCAGGAAAATAAATATCTAAGTAAAGTGATTTCAAATGTGGTAAGGTGATGCAGAATGTGAATAAATAGAATGAATTGAAAAGCAACTGTACCCAGGAGACAGGGTACCCTCCCTGTGGAGGTGACTTCTGAGCTCTGTCACAATTGGCAAGAAGGATTTGGCCATGAAAATTGTGGTAGGCAGGGGGAAAGCATGTGCAAAGGTCCTGAGGCATGTGCAAAGGTCCTGAGGCATGTGCAAAGGAATAAGCTTGGCCATGTGGCTGGAGCAGAGAGAGAACAAGGGAGAGAGAGGGAGGAGAGGAAATTCAAGATATCAGCAGGTTCTACACCAGGTAGCATCTTGGAGGAAACTGATTTTTTTTCATTGTGGTAAAATACACATAACATAAAATTTGCCATCTGAACGATTTTTAAGTGCCAAGTTCGGTAGTGTTAAGTATAGTCACATTGTTGTGCTACCAATCTCAAGAACTTGAAGAAGTGAAACTCTGTACCCATTAAACAACAACACCCCTGTTCCCTATACCCCCAGATCTTGGCAACCACCATTCTACTTTCTGTCTCTATGAATCCGATTCCTCTGGGGACTTCATCTAAGTGAAATCATATGGTATTTGTCTTCTCATGTCTGGCTTATTTCACTAAGCATAATGTCCTCAAGGTTCATCCATGTTGCAGCATGTGTCAGAGTTTCTTTCCTTTTTTAAGGCCGAATAAGGAATAATATTTCATTGTATGTATATATCATATTTTGGTTATCCATTCATCAGGACTTTAGTTTTTACATGGAGCAGGCAGTGTGCTAAGAGCTGGGAGTTCAACGTGACAACAGTGAACTAGACTGTCCGAGTCACTGGCTTTAGGGAGGTCACCATCTGCAGGGAACAGGGACAAACAATACATGCTCACACAGAGGGTGACAGGGCTGTGATGGGGCAAGAACTGGGTATTGTGGGAACCAGAAGAGGTCCCCAACCCAGGCTGGGAGAGTTCTTGAAGGAGGAGGAGGTGTCTAATCTGACCTGAAGGATGACTAGGAAATCACCCAAGTGAGGAGAGAAGGGGAGAGATTCTAGACAGAAATCACTGCATGTGCAAAGATCCTGGGTGAGAGAGCACAGCCAGGTGGAGAATCTGTGAGTGGTTCAACAAGGCTGGAACACACAATATGAGATGTGCAGTGACCACAGGTAGAGAGGTACCAAGTGGACTGCATTCCCCCAAAGGTCAACCTCTCCCTCCCCAGTCTGTGAAGAATGGTGCCAAGACAGGGGTGGACGTCCTCTGCACCTACTGGCAGCCCCCCAGCAGCCTGGGTGTGCCTGCCAAGCTGGTGTTCCCTGAGTTGAGCTGGCAGACCCGTGGCATCACCAGCTGGGCCCCCATTCCCTGAACAAGGACAGCCTCTACCTCAATAGTGAGTGGTTCTCAGCCCACCTCACTAGGGTCACACTCTAACCCCAGAAGGATGTCCATTTACCAGTCAGTTCTCTAGGGGAAAACTTGGGACAAACTCAGATGTGAATCTCGACTCTGCCCTGACCCCACACAGCCACCCTGCAAGGCTGGCCCTTGATTAAACTCACTTTACACATGAAGACACTGGGGCTCGAGAAGGTTAAGTAATTTGCCCAATGGACATAGCTGGGGAGTGGTGGAGCCAGGGCCTGAGCTCCAGTTGTCAGCATCCCACACGGTGCTCCACTCAACACACTTCACTCATAGAAGAGTCTTTCTGTCTTTTCTGTTCTGTTCTGTTCTGTTCCCCACAGAAAAGAGATCGGAGGAAAACCCCGATCTCTCCCCGCTCCCTGCTTTCTTCTCACCCTTGACCAGGGGTGGGCTTCTCTCCTTGGTGGGCCCCTATGCCAGGAAGGAAGGCAGACACTCTGAACATCTAAGGAGTTCAAGCTTCAGACACACTGGGCTTCAGCCTAGAATCCGGGAAGGGACAGTGTTTATGAGGGTGGCCCTCAACTGGCTCTGAGAGGCAGAGCATGGCTGTGGGGAGGTTGATTGGAATAACTCAGCTTCCCTCCTCTCTGTCTCCAACCTGAGAATGGTGTTTGTCCACTCACACTGTCTTATCTCCATTGCCCCATCAGGTAGGAGGGAGACCTCCTGGTCCTTTATGACTCCCATTTTAGCAAAGATGGAAATTGAGGTATGGAGAAGAGAAAGCACCTGCCCACACCCACAGGAGGTTTGTGGTCAGTCTGGGTCTTGATGTTCTGAGTTCAGACCTGTTCCCATCACCTCGGCCATTGCAGGAGCCAGTTTAGGACTTACCCTTTGCAAACTACACAATTTACATGCCTCATTTTGTTCATTCCGTATTTACCAAGCATGTACTATAAGCCAGACCTTGTGCCTGGCACAGGGACAGACACAGGCCACATGCACAACAATCCTAATGTAAGCTCCAATGGGGCAGAGACTGTTTTGTCCAGTGCCATATTCCCCAAATCTAAATGGAACCTAGCACATTGTAAGCTCTCAATAAATATTTACCTGATGGAGGGATAGATTGGAGGGAGAATGGAAGGGCAGATGGTAGGGTGAATGGATATGTAGGGGGATAAATGTGTGAATATAAATGTGATGAGATCTTCTTCTTAGGCACATGGAAAGGGGTTTTCTTTTCTTATTGAGACAGCATTGGTTTATAACATATAAATTTCAGTTGTACATCACTATATTTCAATTCTGTGTAGGCTACATCATGTTCACCACCCAAGACTAATTACCATCCCATCCATCACCATTCACGTATGGCCTGTTACCCCTTTTGCTCTCCCCCATCCACCCTTCCGCTCTGGTAATCACCAATCTAATCTGTGTATCTATGTGTTTGTTTCTTTTTCTTGTTGTTGTTTTCATCTTCCACTTATGAGTGAAATCATACAGTCTTTGACTTTCTTCATCTAACTTATTTCACTTAGCATAATGCCCTCAAGGACCATCCATGGTTTTGCAAATGGCAAGACTCCATCTTATTTTATGGCTGTGTAGTATTCCATTGTGTATATAAATCACATCTTCTTTATCCCTTCATCCCTTGATTGGCACTTGGGTTGTTTCCAAGTCTTAGCTGTTGTGAATAATGCTGCAATGAACACAGGGGTACAAATATCTTTTCACTTTTGTGTTTTCCTGTTCTTTGGATAAATACCCAGAAGTGGAATAGCTGGATCATATGGTAGTTCTATTCTTAATTTTTTGAGGAATCTCCATACTGTCTTCCATAGGGGCTGCACCCGTTAACATTCCCACCAGCAGTGTATGAGGGTTCCCTTTTCTCCACACCCTTTCCAACACTTGTTGTTTGTTGTTTGGTCAATTATAGCCATTCTGACAGGTGTGAGGTCATATCTCATTGTAGTTTTTTTGTTTGTTTGTTTAAAGACCTATCTGAGCTTTTTTTTTTTTTGAGGTAGATTGACCCTGAGCTAACATCTGTTGCCAATCTTCCTCCTTTTTTCCTTTTTTCTCCCCAAAGCCCCAGTAGATAGCTGTATGTCATAGTTGTACATCCTTCTAGTTGCTCTATGTGGGACACCGCCTCAGCATGGCTTGATAAGCAGTGCATAGATCTGCACCCAGGATCCCAACTGGTGAACCCAGGCCGCCGAAGTGGAGTGCGTGAACCTAACCACTACGCCACCAGGCCAGCCCCTCATTGTAGTTTTGATTTGCATTTCACTAATAACTGGTGATGTTGAACATTTTTCATGTGCCTCTTAGACTTCTGTATATCTTCTTTGTGAAAATGTCTGTTCAGTTCCTTTCCCCATTTTTTTTTTAAAGATTTTATTTATTCATTTTTCCCCCCAAAGCCCCAGTAGATAGTTGTATGTCATAG